AAAAAAAAAAAAAAAACTGAAATTAATCTCACTGTGGTTTAACCTAAAATACAGATTTTCACAATCTCTAAGACAAAAGATTCAAAAGTTGTTTTCAAGAACAAAGACATAGAGGGAAGGTGGAAGGTTGGTTTCCATAACAGCCAAGGAGGACTCAGAATTCTCTCTGAGGAGCTTGACCTGGGCCAGACAGTGGCAGAGGGATGAGAGGGCTCCTCCTGTGGGCACAGCAACAAAGGCAGCAAAAGCTATCAGTTCCTTCCTTCCCGAGCCAAGCTCTTCTAACCTGGCCCAGAAAGCGCTCTGTCACCAGCCTCCAGAGGCAAATTCTTAAAGGCAAGGCCATAAGCACTGAGCATTTAAAATAATTACCAAGAACATTCTCCATAGGAGCTGAAAGAATAGAAATCTGAAGACTCCCACTCTGTTAGAGCTAGAAAACTGAAAAATGCTGTCTTCGGTTTACAACCTCTGTAAAGGGTCAACTGATCCATCAACAACCTTCAGTGCCTGTCCAAGGAGGGCCTTTTCTGGAAATTTCCATGTCTCAGCCATGAAAACAAGCCTAGGCAGATACAAGGAACATCTCACCTGTCTATTCAGTGTGATGGCACTCGGCTGGCACTTGGTACAGATGCCGTTGGGCCATGGAAGGTGTCCCTCACACCCTGATTTAATCTTGCAACTGATGTTCTCCAAGGCAACAAATTTTCCCCTGAATAAGAAGAGAACCAACTTAGTCAAATATCACAATGATAAAAAGTTTAGCAAACATCTTACATCTCCTAACACCATTCTAAGGAGCTAAGTGTGCACTAAGCAGCCACAAGGAAAATGTGCTATAATAGTTCTAGCACATTCAAGCTTCTAACACATACAAATAGACTATACAGAAACACACAACTATTTTTCTTCAAAATTCAGTTTTTATTTTCACCAGCTATCACTATCATCCACAAAGGTTTTCAAGAATACTGTAGAACATCTACTGATCCAGCCACTGAGAGGAACTAAGGCTCTTTTAAGTTTCATTAATTTACCAGCAACTTTGACATTATTAGCCCAGTGCTTTTATAAAAAGTACTTTACATTTGTAAAAAAAAAAATTCTCAATGACTTAAGTTGACTTAAGTTGACTTTAAAAAAATAAAACTTTTTTTTTCTGGAAATGAGAGTCTCATTTTTGTCGCCCTTAATAGAGTGCCATTATTTGCCAACTCAAACTCTTGGGTTCAAGCTATTCTCTTGCCTCAGCCTCCCCAGTAGCTGGGACTCAGGTGCCCACCACAACACCTGGCTATTTTTAGAGACAAGGTCTCGCTCTTGCTTCAGCTGGTCTTGAACCTGTGAGCTCAGGCAATCCACCCACCTCAGCCTCCCACAGTGCTGGGATTAGAGGGATGAACCACTGTGCCTAGCCTAAAATTCTTATTCATATGAAAAGCCTGATTAGGATATATAACAAAGATATTGTCACTCTGCTTTCAGCTAAATTAAAAACTACCGTTGTAAGATGGCCAATGAGAATATCCTAGAACCTCCTCTGAACATGAGGTTATTCTGTATAAGCAAATTCAGCTTTCTCATTCACTAAACAGTGTAACAATTCCATTTTTTTCTTTTTTTCTAGCTTTACTGAAGTATAATTGACAAGTTTTAAAAAACTATGTCTTTTTTTTTTTTTTTTTGAGACAGAGCCTCAAGCTGTCCCCCTGGGTAGAGTGCCGTGGCATTACAGCTCACAGCAACCTCCAACTCCTGGGCTCAAGCGAGTCTCCTGCCTCTGCCTCCCAAGTAGCTGGGACCACAGGCGCCCGCCACAATGCCCGGCTATTTTTTGGTTGCAGCCGTCATTGTTGTTTTGGCAGGTCCGGGCTGGGGATTCAAACCCGCCACCCTAGGTGTACGTGGCTGGCGCCTTAGCCGGTTGAGCCATAGGCGCCGAGCCAAAAAACTATGTCTTTAAGACATACAATGTGATGTTTGTTTTTCAAATAAAAATTGTATATATTTACAGTGCACAGCATGATGGGTGTCTTTTTTTTTTTTAATAGTCTCACTTTGTCACTCTTTGTAGAGTGCTATGGAATCACAGCTCATAGCAACCTCAAACTCTTGGGCTTAAGCCATTCTTGCCTTAGCCTCCCAAGTAGCTGGGACAATAGGCACCGGCCAAAATGCCCAGCTACTTTTTTGAGACAGGGTCTCGCTCTTGCTCAAGCAATCCACCTGGCTCAGCCTCCCAAGTGCCGGGATTACAGGCGTGAGCCACCGCACGCGGCAATACCGCATTATGTTTTGAAATATGTACACAGGGCAGAATCGCTAAATTGAGCTAATTAACGTATCACCCCACACACATATCATTTTCTGTGGCGAGCCATCCTTGGTGTCGTGGCATTAAGAAAGCGGCAGCTGCCGCCAACCCTCTGCGTTAATGGCATCTATAAACAAGCCCCTGCAGGAGACTGTGTCCCCTGACCTGGACTGACAAAGGGCTGAGCAAATCTCCTTCACCACAATAAATCTCCACTCACGTCTTAACCCACAAAGTTCTATAGCTTTCCCCACTGACAGGCAAGAGTGGATTTCTGGTGGCTTTTTCCTCCTGGTCTAACATTTTTAAAAAGTCATTTTAGGATGTCAGCAGATTGTCAGAGAAAAGCTATAATCAGGCAGATCTGACATTCTTCACAAAATATTGCTGACTTGAGTTCCACCACCAATTTCTCTTTTTTGCACTGACAGGATTTACAAAATAACGGCTGGAGTCGGCTACTTTCTGGTAAGGTGGATAGAGAGCCAACAGGAAAAGGTGGTATGGACAAGTATAGGATGTGGAGTAAAAGAAATCAAAATGCTCTCAGTTCACCCATTCTGGCCACTGCTACCACCTGTGTGCCAGAGTGGAGGGAAAGCTGCCCTCACAACTGACCTCACCAAGCCTGTGGGCGCCAACTTTGGCAGCACAATAAGCCCAGGCTGTGACCAAGCCACTGCTACAGCTCCTGCCATAACTGTGAAGTTCCCCAGACAGAGGCAGGGTTCTCGGGAAAGGCAGAGACAGGCTGCAATGGATGGGCTGAGATAATCACGGGGGCTGCTTCTTCAAAAGAAGAAAACACACTCAGACTCCATCACACCACAGGCCACCATTACATACACTAACTCTGGGGGGCAGTATGTGTGGGGAAGGTTGGTGACTACATGCGTCACCAACAGGGTGCAGGTTCAACACTCTGTGGGCAGGGGCATGAATTCAATGCTGTG